CTCATGAGACCATAGAATGCTCTAATGATCCAAAATGTGCAAACTGTTCTGGGAATCACGTTGCATCATCCAAATCTTGTCCTGTCTGGCAACTCCAACACCAGATAATAAAAATGAAGCATGGCAAGAATGTTTCTTTTTCTGATGCCAAACGTTTAGTAATGACATCCACCACTCCTACTGCAGCTCTGTCATATTCTGCAGTTGTCACTCGTACACCTCCAAAATCTTCTAAATCATTTGCCTCTGTTGAATGCCAGACGGATGTTACTTGGGTTAACTCCGACAACTTTTCTTTGGTCCAGTCAAGCTCTTCTTCTCAAACAGAAGATACATCTACATCTCCATCACCATGTTTGTCATCACCTATGACAGCAGCGCCGACATTATCACTGGCATCAACAACAAATCCATCACCGACCGTGACAAATGCCAGTAAAAAAGTAGACTACTCCAGAAATTCTGATCGTGTGTCAAAGGGTCAACGTGACCCTATCCAAATTTACAATAGGTTTCAAAACTTGGAGGACATGGATGTTTCTCCTCATCCTAATGGGCGCAACAGAAGTAAGTCGCCTAGAAATGGGAGACGTAGATCTCCTGTTCATCCACCGGTAACTTGAATATTATGAATCCACTGATTCAATGGAATTGCAGAGGTCTTAGGACCAATTTTAATGAATTACATTTATTAATACAAGATTTTAACCCATCGGCAATCTGTCTCCAAGAGACATATCTCAAACGGACTGACAACTTTGATTTACGTCGGTATAGCTCCTACAACTCATTTTCTCCTCCAGGTGTTAAGGCTACTGGGGGATCTTCTGTTTTGGTGAAGCAGGGAGTGATCCACAGCCCTGTAGCGCTTCAAACCAATCTACAAGCTGTTGCAGTCCGACTGACTTTGCACATAACGTTTACACTGTGTTCTATATACATTTCACCTTCTTCTGTGCTTCAGCGTTCGGATCTTCAATCTTTATATGACCAGCTCCCTAAGCCATGCGTGATAATGGGTGATTTAAACGGCCATAACCCATTATGGGGAAGTGTTACCGTTAATCCTAAAGGTAAGGTCCTTGAAGATTTTATTTCCGATAACAACTTATGCATTTTCAATGATGGATCAAGTACATACTTGCATCCTGCTACTGGTACCTATTCTGCTTTAGATTTGTCACTTACAGATTCCAATCTCTTGAACGAATTTACGTGGTCGGTTCACAATGACTTGTGTGGAAGCGATCATTTCCCTTCCATCCTAACAGCAAATAATCCATCTGATGTTCCACCCACATCAAGGTGGAACTTTACCAAAGCCAACTGGCCTTCCTTTCAGGAACTCTGTACTGATAGGTTGAAGCCTGATGTGTTCAGGAATATCACTGATCCTATTCAGCTGTTTTCTGATATTTTAAACGAAATTGCCAACATAACTATTCCAAGGTCCTCTGCAAATCCACACATTCGAAAACCATGGTTTGATAAAGAATGCAAACAGGCTAGGAAGTGCGGGAAAAAAGCGGAGAAATATTTCCGCCGACATCCAACTGTACATAATTTGAATCGTGTTAAAATCACAAATGCCAAGGCACGCCGTACATTCAAACAGAATAAGCGTAAGTCTTGGAGACATTATGTCTCTAAAATTAATTCTCGCACGCCGATATCCAAGGTGTGGAACATGATTGCCAAAATTAAAGGTAAAGGCTCTAAATCGACTGTCCACCATCTAAAGGAAGGTGACCATTTATTAACTGATAAAGTGGACATTGCCAATAAATTGGGCGAGACGCTGGCCGAACACTCTTCATCGACAAATTATGATCCCAAGTTTCAAACATATCAGAAACAACAGGAAAAGAAGAGGGTTGATTTTACTTCTCAAAATGGAGAAGATTATAATGAGGTATTTTCACTCCATGAGCTAAATACTGCCCTAGGTCAAGCGCGTGATACTGCAACGGGAGCTGATAATATTCACTATCAGCTCTTGAAGCATTTGCCTGATTCATGTTTAGAGACACTTCTTAATATATTTGATCAGATCTGGACGTCAGGAAATTTTCCGCCTTCATGGCGTAATGCAATAGTTGTTCCTATACCTAAACCTGGTAGGGACCATACTGAGGCATCCAATTATCGACCAATATCACTAACCAGCTGTGTGTGCAAAACCATGGAGCGAATGGTAAACAATCGACTGGTGTGGTACTTAGAAACTAATAATCTTATTAGTAACATACAATGTGGTTTCCGTAAGAATAGAAGTACCATTGACCATCTGGTACGTTTAGAATCCTTTGTCAAAAATGCAATTGTCAATAATCAGCATGCAGTTTCAATCTTTTTTGATTTAGAAAAAGCGTACGATACCACTTGGAAGCATGGTATTTTAAAAGATCTACATAATTTGGGGTTAAGAGGCCGTTTGCCTCAATTTATATCTCAATTTTTAACAGACCGACAATTTCAGGTTCGTGTGGGTTCCACCCTGTCTGACCATTATAATCAGGATCAGGGTGTCCCACAAGGCAGTATTTTGTCTGTAACTCTGTTTAGTGTAAAGATTGATAGTTTGTCAAAGGTTTTAAATGATTCCATTGATGGTTCACTTTTTGTGGACGATTTTAATGTTTCATGTCGTGGTAAAAATATGCGTACCATTCAGAGACAGTTGCAGCTATGTCTCAATAAAATCGAAAAATGGTGTCTTGAAAATAGTTTTAGGTTTTCAAAAGCTAAGACCAATTGTATACACTTTTGTCGGAAATACAAACACCACAAAGATCCAGAGCTATTTTTACATGGCACTCCTATCAAGGTTGTAGAAGAAGCCAAGTTCCTGGGTCTCATTTTCGATCATCATTTGACATTTAAGCCCCATATTAATTATCTTAAAACTAAATGTCTGAAGGCTCTAGATTTGTTGAAAGTAGTTGCTAATACAAAGTGGGGAGGTGATCAGACAACCCTCCTACACTTGTATAGGTCTCTGATCCGCTCTAAATTAGATTATGGCTCCATCATTTATGGTGGAGCCTGTAAGAGCAATTTACAAAAGTTAGATTCCATTCACCATCAGGGCCTACGACTTTGTCTAGGCGCTTTTCGAACATCTCCTGTTGACAGCCTATATGTAGAAGCTGATGAACCATCGTTGAAGCAACGTCGTATCAAATTATCACTACAATATATTACTAAATTACATTCTAGTCCATTAAACCCCGCATACAAATGTGTTTTTCAACCACTTTAGGAACAGCTTTTTCCCCGTAAGTCTAAGTTAGTCCCACCACTAGGCATTCGGATTAAACCTCACCTTACAGCTGCACATATTGAGTTAGATAACATTTCTCCTTTCAGGCTTCTGTCTTCTCCTCCTTGGCAACTTATCAGACCAGAGGTGGACTTGACTCTCACACAATTTAAAAAACAAGACACAAATCAATTAATATATCAGCAAGAGTATATTCAGGTTAGAACCAGATATGAAACCCACCGTTCCATTTTTACAGATGGATCCAAGGACGGTAGCACAGTCTCCAGTGCTGCTGTCATTGGATCAAAAACCGTATCATCCCGCTTACCAGACCATAGCTCAATTTTCACCGCTGAAGCCAAAGCCATATTAACTGCTTTGGAATATATCCAACAACAGTCCAGTTGTAGACGGTTCATCATCTTTTCAGATTCATTGTCATGTCTACAGGCGATCAAGTCTGGCTCTTCACATCATCCATTTATTTTAGATATTTTAGAATTATATAATGACCTTGCTACTGGCCAATGCGACATCGTCTTTTGCTGGTTGCCCAGTCATGTTGGAATCACGGGTAACACTATGGCTGATGCTGCAGCAAAGGCAGCTCTCAACAAATCTGTGACACCACTTCTTCTACCATACAGTGACTACAAACCTGTTATTAGATGCTATATCAAAGACCTAATGCAGAAGAAGTGGGACACTCAAGTGGGTATAAATAAATTACATGCAATCAAAGCAACTATCGGTTATACCTACTTGGGTTGTCAGTCCAGATTTGAAGAGGTCATTTTAAGACGTTGTCGTATTGGCCATTCTCGTTATACCCATGAACATTTACTAAAAGGTGAGGATCCTCCATTCTGCATCCCTTGTGATGAAAGAATCACAGTCAAGCATGTCCTGCTTGACTGTATTGATTTTTCCATCACAAGGGATAATTATTTCCAGGTTTCATCTATGAAGGATCTTTTTAATGTAGGTACTCATTTAATTATTGATTTTTTAAAAGAAATAGACTTGATTGATAAATTTTGATATGTATTGTTGTAAAAAGTATATTTTTAATTTGGAAGAATGAATTAATAACTGAGATTGTTAGTGGCTGTACCTTCAAGGGGGGTTGAAGTAACGTAAAATAATTGTCCCCCTGAGAGGGTACATAAGTCCTATTTCATTCAAAGTATTTTTCATTTTCCTTGGTTTTAATCGCAGAATACTTGTTTGTTTTTAAATGCTTTGGCTTAAACTTACTACTAATCACCAGTGACCAGAGGGATGGTGTAAATCCTGCAGGGGTACCATGCAGGAAGCAGATGCACCGTAAGTCCCCATGGTCCCTTGTGTGGTGGCCTAACTTTGGTTGCTGGTGATCTCTAGCCAACTCTTATATTGTATTGTATTGATTAATTTTATAGTTACTTACTAGTTTTATATTTATAGCTGTGATATTCTAGTTATTTTACTGTCCTTTGCCGACAGATTTTATAGTTTATAGTTTATAGTTATGTATTATTACTGTACAACTTGATTTAGTCACGATATGGCTGAAATATTGCCGATGTGACTATAAATCTTAACTCACTCACTCACTCTTTATTCTATAGCTGCAACCTCTTTGTGATCCCACCCTCAATTGAACCATTTGGCCACATCATTCAACCAAAATTCCCAAAATAACGAAAACCTGTATGGAACCTAACAATGCAGAAATAATTTATATCATAACATAAACAGTCTGCAATTGTTTTATTGCTAACAAAATTCCCATATATATCACATATATGTCGATATGCTATATTCACATATGTCAGCAAAGTATCAAATCTGTTGCCTACTTGGAGCAAACAGCGCATGTTAACTCCCAGTGATTCTTGTACGGCGGACATGGCAAGGAACCACAAACACCGTCAACAAGATACAAGCGTTGCCCGTTCTTGTTTTCATGGCCACTGCGATCCTTCTCTGCATTTCCATCAACACACAGATACTCACTAGCAGCATAATTGAAATGGCCACCCATCAGGTACCCCGTGTACTCGACACGCCATCCAGGGAAGCAGGACATCTTGGCAGGCACCATGATGACGCTTGTCTTGGTTCTACTTCTACACACGGCACAGGGAACGTCATGGTTATGCAGGTTTTTGAAAATGATGGAATGTTCATTGGTATCATATTCTGTACCATAGATGGCACCATCAGCCTGAAATCCAGGGGTGTAGTTTCCATATTCAGGGTTCTCAGGCAGACACAGGATATTAGCAGGGCCAGCCTTATGTGTGTAGTGAGTTCCTCCAGCAATTCCTGTGATAATGATACAGTAAGCTCAGTCAAAACAATCATCACACATGTTGTGGTTACTTACATGTAGATACAGGATCAAAAGGACATAAGTCACTCCTCTTGAGCCCTCACTTTGAAGTTGAATGAAACTCATCGCGCACTCACATACACTTCTCTGTCCTGAGATCTCACCTACTGTCATTTTAGGCAAAGCAAAATTAGGTTCATCGTAAAACATCGCAACTTTTGACCTTTAACTAAATCACCATTATCGGTGTTATTTCGTGCGTGTTTCGAAATCTAAATAACTGAAATATACTCTGAGAATTTTATGAAAAAAAGAAGCACGTTCGTGATCACAGGTTTCTGTCATTTGTCAAATCACCAATGATCATTCTAAGACGTCGCCACCTATGCGAGGATTTGCCAAACTGGTTTCTGTATGTCGGAAAGAGGAACAGGAAAGTCGTTGCACATATCCCTGTATGGCTGCAACGAACCACCTTGACATCTATCGATCAGTCACATAAAAGTATGTACGCAAGAGTTAGTGACATTTCCGACTTTCTCGTTTAATATAACGTGTGTATGCACAAGCATGTATGCGCGACGCAGTGAAGGATTGACAGGTAAACATAAGACAAAGCAATGTGTAACCGTAACATCACTGCAATAAAATGATATATGAAGTACATAGAACTAGTAATCGCCCAGCTCTCTGGACGGTGGCGGATAAAAACAATGAGAGCATAAAAATATTATTCTTGTACACGGGGTCAACGGCGGCCAGTGGTAATGCATGATATTAATGTATTATGATTATATATTAATGACAAACTGACCAAATTGAAACAAACACCACTTTACCAGTTGGGTGATATAAACCTATAGCAAAAGTTGACGATTCAATAGCATGCTCCTCTGCGCTTGTTTCGTGTACCACACCATGGAATTATAGTTAGTTTTAGAAGTAAAGCCGCACAATACAGTTTAAGTTTATTTTTTCAAATACAATGCTTATCTCATCCCGGGACGTGGTGATAATTGTTATTTTTACTATGATAAAAATATCCATTCCAACAACGACTCTCGACGATATAGACAGACCTTTGACAGCATTAGATGTCCTCCCTTTGCATTTACCTGAGAGAATAAATATGTGATAACTAGATGTATTTCAGTTTTTCGAAATATTGATGAGAACTTGTAAATCTTGTATGTGTGCATAACCTGAACTTGAAGATGATGGTTCCTACCATATTAATTTTCTTCACGAAAATTCCGGAAATTCAGTGCTGCCTCCCATATGTCTGGCATACACCTCCGGTGCGAATTACGATTCGAATAACGTTTTGCTCTGATAATGTTTCTGTATCTTGACGATTTTGTATTAGTCCTAGAATAAGAAAATGATCCAAGATTGCACTGGAAAATCTGAAGTGCATGACTATATTTTCGTTTGCCTACGTACAGCTGTAGTTTGTTTTGTGTGATACATGTACTCAATTTTTGTTACTTTTTTTCTAGAATGTGGGTCCGCACATATGCGTTCCATAATACAAGTAATTGCAACGCTTGGACAATAACGTAAAGCTTCGTTGCATACATAGTACTGATTTGTATTGCTTCGATTGTAGCAAAATATTGTTTTTCTTATGACTCTGTATTGCTGGGTGACACCTTTAATTATAACTTAGTGCGATGTAGTCTGTTCATTCATTATTTTAATCGATTACCAATCACTGGAACTTTGTGTACATGTGGAACTCGTTCTAAACAAGCATTACCCATGCAGATGAATGAGCCTGAGTCCAAGATTTGCAATGTTGTAGATTTGACGAATGTGGTTTCTATATTTTTTTATACAATCAGGTCAGGACGTACCTTTATGTTGACAAAGTACCGCATCGTTTGTAGAGTATATTGGGGGACATAGTAGATATATATCTTATAGAACAAGGACCTTGTCAAATGATAATCAATGTAAATACAAATGTACATGTACAGTGTACATTACAAACATGGTTATTATGGTCAGCCACTTGTGGTTACGCAGATATAATGAATATTATAATCTTAACCTTATTAAGGTATATATCCCTTACATTTAAAACGCACCGTTATCATAAACATTTCCCAAATATCCATCCATCCATCCATCCATCCATCCATCCATCTGTTCATCCGTTCGTTCGTTCGTTTCGTTCGTTCGTTCGTACATCCATCTATCGATCAATCCATTAGACACACTATGTATGCATAGCTCAATATAGAGTGTGATTAGGCAATCTATGTACGCACTGGTTACTACACAATGTGATGAGAAAATGTGTATATGCATATGCATATATCATGACTAGACTAGCAGCATGTGTATTATATGTATATGCATAGCAAGGGTGAGGAAATATCAAATTTGTGAACTTGTCCCTGGACAACTAGACAGTAAGAAACACTTGCCCGGAGATAAAGTTTACTTGTCCTGCTTATTGATGATAATGGTGTTTTAGCACAAAATACAAGATGTTAAATGTATGTCAATTGCAAGGGCAAAATCAAATGAAAACAATAAGTTTTGATAAGCAAGTACGAACTGCCATGACTTCTTACAACAGGTTGTGCAATATGGCAACATGGTTGTCTAATCAACCAGTCAGAAAGTGGAGGTAAACATTACACTGACATAATTTGGATTGGTAATACTTTCTGTTGAATCTGAAGGGTGACGTTATGCGTGGCTCACTACACAATGTGACTAGACAATATCTGCATGCATAGCTCACTTCACAATATGATTAGACAATATATGCATGCATAGCTCACTTCACAATGGGACTAGACAATATCTGCATGCATAGCTCCGTTCACAATTTGACTCAATAAGAAAGAAATGGTTTTAATAGAGGATATCAGGTTCATCTCACCTTTATACACAAGTTCCGTTTTAGAGGGACATTCTGTTTTTCCCCATCGCGTGTAGATAGCACCACCATGACCCTTTCCTGTAACACAAAAATATTGGTATTTCAATAGTCTGTATAATTGTCGTGTGAATTGTGGATAATTGTTGTGGACATTTACTTGGTTTGTGAAAAATCTACAAATGTACTGACAAACTGTGTCATAAACCTTGATTCACTCCACGTGGGCGGACCCTGCTACATGGGACACAATTTCAATAATATATTTACAAAACTAATACTAAAGAGACACTCATATTCTGTGATATACCCTAATGTAATGTTTTAACGGATATTGATAGGAAATACATGAATATTTCGTTGATTAGATGACATCATTACTTGTACAAAGAACATTATTTTCATAAACACTGATGCACTTTCACATGTCATCTTGTTAGCACTTGAAAACACAACCCAGAGATAAAACATTCCTCGATATTAGCCTTTCCCCTGGTTTCCGTGATAAAGTAATGAACCCCTTTGCCTATGACAGAATAACGACGTGAACAAACTCATGGTAAAAGTCTGGCTGAGGGCGTCACCTGCCCGGTAGGCTGTACAAGAGTGTGTCATCAGCTTGAATGTGTTCAACTAACACGTTTCCGTCATTTGGCAGTCATCATCCCTTTATGTGCAGCCTCAGCCTTTTAAGTTGATGAAACAATGGACATTCATCAGCAAATAAAAGTTAGTTTAATCCAAAGATATAGAAACAAGGAGGTCAACGGAGGAAAAAAATCTGTCTTACCAAAATTCGACGTATTCTGTTCCGTCTTAAGCATCTGCCGCAATTCATCAAGAAACGTCTGAGTGGCAATGCATGGTGTTGAGGTTGGCAGAACCCGCGAAGTGGTCTTGCGAATTGTCACGCCTACAAAGAGCAATGTGATCATCAATTCTTTCGCCATCATCTTGATTGTAGTCAATCTATAGCGTCATGATAAGTCAGTATTTATATGTAAATATGTCCAGTTCACGCTAGCTCATAGGAATAAACAGTGTCACCTGCAATAAGGTAAATACAGCTTAACTGATACGGACACCTAGTCCGGAGTTTCAGAGATCAGTACAAATACAAATAAGGAATGTTGCAGCTCGGAACTCTTTAATTTCCAGCTGCACAGTTGTTGCCAGTGTGTGTCTTGCACTACACATCCTGCAGCATATGTTTGATTCCGAATGAGATGCAACATATATAGAATTCTAAACGAGCTATAAAACGAGTGAGATGCCACAACTATTTACGAGTTTCATAAAAGTAGTTTTACACGGGAGCGAGTTGAGTATTTTATTTATTACTTGCCATTCATATCATTTTCAGAATTATACTGTTGAGTGTGAATAGGCCGACACCCTGACGATCCATGGCATAATCTAATTGAGTTTGACTGAATAATACTTTAAACACGTCAAAAGTTGAAACGTATGAATTTAATACCATGCAACGGTCCACCTTTGGAATTCAGGGGTCCGTTCCACCAAATTATCGTAGCGCTAAGGTTATCGGAACTCACATACTTTAAAATAGATTAACGACTGTCGTAACAGTACGATCACCTTGTGGAACGGTGCCTTGCACCTCAAAGTTTACAATTACGTCACACTACCCGATGACGTAATTTGTGGAATTTTGTTGCAAGTTCCATCGGCGAAACAATGCCATGTGACGTCAGCCTAGGGACAAGGTTGTTTGGGTCATCGAGTGTGCATAAGCTCCTCTCAGTGATCTATCATCTCCACACGCAATGTCGTTGAATAAGCAAAGGGATGTTGAGAGCTTTCAATATTTGTTCGTGAAACTTGTTTCGAGAGTACATAAGCAAGCGTTTTGGAATTACACAATGCGTAATACAGCTGTATGTTTATTAAAGGGGTGATCTCTTCACGGGCAGGTAATAAGGTCTGTTATTACACCCGCAGTGTACATACTGGTGGTAAGAAACTAAGATTTGTGCCTCTACATGCATGTATGGTTATTAACTGACATGTTGTAATGTTTCCGGCTGTGCCCCGAGTGTTGAAGTAGTTTACATCTCTAGGATGTGTCATATCCAATGTTTTTCAGCAGGTTGTGTTTCTTTGTAACGGCCCTGTATGTCAATGAAGTGAGTGAGTGAGTTGGGTTTAACGCCGCTTTTAGCAGTATTCCAGTCATATCACGGCGTGTCAACTTTATGTGGGAGGAAAGCCCGAAGTGATGCAGGTCTCAGGCATTTACCACTTCGGTGAAACCCACGAGCACGGGTATGGTGCTGAAAAACATTAAATTATAATCGGGGCGAACCGGGATTCCCACCCACAATCATAGGTTTCTGGCCTTCCAAAGGGACGCAACTCTGCACATCGAAACGCGGCGCTTCAGACGACTTGGCCACCCGTGCCCCCTAAATGAAGTGTGTGTGTGTGTGTGTGTGTGTGTGTGTGTGTGTGTGTGTGTGTGTGTGTGTGTCTATGTGTGTGTCTGTGTCTGCTTGTACTTGTCCGGACTGATGCTTATTTTATAATGTTAACCCTACTGAGATGCAATGCCGCAGTTTAACAGAATAACCCTCTCAGAAAGAGTATATTGACTTCGAGCCGACCAGCCCTTGTTTTAGCCCTTTATTGCCGAGCGCCAGGCAGGGTAACACCAAGTACCATCTTCTAACGTCGTTGTTCTTGCTCAGTAAAATTCGTTCTGGTCAGTTGAAACTAAATCTGGTTTGGCTCATTCTGGATTGGCGCTATTTTTTCCTTTTTATCATAGATTAAACACACAAGTTATATATATTGGGTTCTGACCATCTGATTCTGAAGTTTAATATTAACGAATTTCTTTTTCTGGAAACATGCAAATCTACACCAGCAAATCTATTCATAATCAAGTTTCAGATAACAGAGAAATTGTGACAAATTGAAAACTGATCTAGATTAGTCAAATTCTATGAAACCTGTAAAAGTGAAACTGATGAAGAAACTCTAGATATATATAAAGAAATGGAAACGCCAACACTGACAATTTATGTCGAGTAAACTTCGGGAAAAATGCAGTTGAAATGGAATAAATATCCAAAGCCATAAGGTCAGTGAAACATAATCAAACTCTGGGGTTAGGCGGATTTTCAATAGAGTTCTTTGTGGCGTTTGTAAGGTAATTGGATTTTTTTTATATATTAAACAATCATTTAACAACAATCAACTGACCCTGACTATGAAAATGGGTATTATTACCTGTATACCTACATCGGGAAAAGACACAAGACTACTAAAACACTGGCGCCCCATCACGTTAGTAAATAGAAACTGAACATGTATATCAATAGGCATATGCTCTGGATACAGCTATTCATGAAAACCAAACTGGATTCATTCCATGTAGACTTATTTGTGAAAACATGAAGCTCTTGTTAAAAAATAAGACACAATATACGAAAGGGTTGTTAATGTTGATTGATTCTGAGAAAGCTTCCGATGCTATATCTGAACAATACATAAACTAAGTTCTTAGAGAAAATGGATATAAATTCTTTGTTTCCCGTCAGCACGTGAAGAAGTTTTGGCTTGATCTGAGCTTGTTTATTGAACGACAATTTGATATCAATGTTATTTCCACTGACTTTGCTAACTTACTGGGAACTATAGTGACTATAATTTCTTGAATAATATTATCTTATCAGCAGAGAGAGATATCTATGTCTCTTGTATGAACAACAATACACATGTCTTCTATGTAATGCCTTTCAGACAAGACAATCTAATGTATCCGTTGATACATTTTGCAGAAAAATTTAAGGTGAGACTGCACGCAAAGAAATAGATATGGTAAATGACGAATGTGTAAACACATTCCTGTTGTGATAAAGATTACACATGACACAAATTCAATGTGCCAGGTCCTATTTACCAAAGAAATGAGTGAGTGGGTATGGTTTTATGCCGATTTTAGCAATATTCCAGCAATAACACGACATGGGGACACAGGGAATGGGTTTCACACATTGTAACCATGTGGAGAATCGATGAGAACACTTTAACCATTAGGCTACCCTACCGGATCGTTCCCATAATGAAAATTGGACATGTTAAGATTATGTTTGGAAATAAGAAAGACGCCTGATTCCGTTGTTCATTTTGAATTTCAATATTTGTATAGCTTAAACCATTTGGCTACCCCATCGTACCTCAACAAATGAATACTCACTATATTACCAAGGTCTTTGCGTCAGTGAGTACTCATGTTTCCCTCTAAGCCCCATGGGGAGTACACAGACCAGGCTGCCGCATGATCAGCAGCTAGAAGGTGTACCAACACATTACCCTCTCATCCAACAGAGTACCCATTCCCTGTTTGGTGACCAAGGGCATAGTTCGGACATGGTCTCTTGCCTTAGACGACACCACATGTTATCTGTTTTTAAGTGTAAGACAGGACCGGAGCCCTATTTATAGTTGCACATATATGAGTTACGTGCAGCACTACGACTTCTCCTGTGACAGACAATAGAGTTGCACAAAGATAATAGAATTACAATACGATCTCTCTTTTGAGGCAGTAGTTACTGTCAAATCTCTCCTGTAAACAAACGCAGCCAGTGGCACAAAAGAAAGTTACGTTTACACTGCAACCTACTATATATCTATTGTATAGATTACTTGTATTAATGTTCTATGACCTGCACATAAACTGGCAGCATGGACACGTGTACGGATGCGGATCTAAACAGATATTAAAGAGAAGGAAGGTTTCAAATTACAATATTGAAATCGGCTATCCTTTCGAGACCAGGGCCTAGATTTTCGAAACGATCTTAGCTAAGATAAATCTTAACAACTTACGTTCAAAGATAAGATATCTTAAGGTTAAGATAAGATAGGTTTTCGAAACTATCGTAAACCTGTCGCAGATCGTTCAGAGTTACGATACCTGTCGTAACTCTGACAGAGAACTCATTTGTGTTAGAGATTGAAAAAGCGGGGTGTTTCCCAGTGACGTCACGGGGATTTCCCAGCTGAATATGCGTTCAGCATTTAACATGCGTGTTCAAGTCTGATGTTAAGTGATGTATACTGTTTATTTTTATGTTTATGTCAAAAGTCAAGTTTATATTAGTGTAAACACCAACATTATACGTGGAAACACTCAAAATTGTTCAGGAAGCAGCGCACCCACAAGCAAGTTTATATGACAATCTAAGCTTGTTAAGTTTGTTTTGTTACTTATGTATCCAATATATTTCACGAATAAACCAAGGACTTAAATACAATATCAAGCTATCAGTATTTAGATGATGACATTATTTTTTTATCTATCTAGATCCATAATTATTTTCAAAATTTTCAAAGTGACACTAATTTTGTGAATTTTGGACAATGTGCAATCTATGCTACATTTTGACGAGAACCAGAACGAGCATGGGAACTCATTTTTTATTTGATTTGTCGATACAAAAATCTGTGCTTAACTTTTGCTGTCAAAATTTCAGTAAATTGTTATATTTATAAGGGAATACATCTATATGCCGTTAATCACCTGTTTTCAAAGAATGCAATTGTTCGACAGACAGTTTTTAATTACTTTTTATCAAATATTTGTCTTTCAAGAGGATATAGATAATGTAGGTATTGAATTTAAAACCAAACAAATTACAATTACTTTTGCAAGAAAAATATTAGATATTGTATACAAATATTTGATCACATGTATTTTCTTGTTAAGTCAATAAATACTATACACTGTATAGTTAAAATTCAATTATTAAAACCACCCGTCCCACACGATTTTAGATGTAAAAACTTATGCGAAACCTTTATGGTTGTTTTTACATATGTAGATTGATATGATTTTATAAAATGCGAAAATAAAGACTAAAGCATTGACACAAATGCGACTCAGAAAATATAACTCTGCGCTTTATGAAAACTGTACCATTGAGCAAGGTGTCCCGGGAGAATACAAAGGGAAACCACTCTCAACTAGAGTTTGAACTAAGATTAGCTCCCCCTAAACTATCAATAAGGTCACGGTCATTACTGTAGCCTGCCGACACCTTCCGTTTTTATCCTTCCCAAATTATCGAAAAGGTATGTTGTTTCACACTTCTTCAGCATGGACTCGGATAGAAAAATAATGTAAGCTATCGACTCCACAGTTATGTGTATCGCTGTCGCGATTAAGAACATTTTTTATGTGAAATCATTGATGCGTTCTTCGTGTTTTCGAAGTGTCAATTTGAATCACTCAGTTTTACAAAATGAAATGTCAATGTTTGAACGTAAAGCGGACTAGTTGTTTGGCACAATATCTATGGCAAAGTATGCCGCCATCTTGGATGAAGATAAAATAAACTTACGACAGGTATAGGGCTATCTTAGATTTACGACAAACTTAAGATATCTTAGGGCTACGATAGTTTCGAAAATGGGCTACGATAGCCTACGATTTCCCTACCATAACTTTACGATAATCTTAGGGCTAAGATCGTTTCGAAAATCTAGGCCCAGCCACATAGTTCTAGCGTGGTAGTTTCTAGCTTTAGCGCGAGGTTCCAAATTTTAATAAAGAGGTTTCTATTCTACAGTGGGACTACATCAAATTTCAAAACACAGTAGGTTTATCTCCATTCTACCATGACGGCAACAACGCTTTGAACATATATATGGTGCTCTCTTGCAACGCGTAATCACACAGGTGCACAGGTCCACAATCTTAGAACATTCCGAAAAGTGGTCACAGCTAGGTAGTTATATATGTGACAAATATTACTAAAGTTTAAGATTAAAAAACACCAAAGTCGTGAGTAGTTCATAATAAGTATTCAAAACACATAGTTTCTCAAACGAAGTTGACAAATAACACTCCTAACTTAATCCAAAGAGAGATGTTTTAAGTTCTATCAAACTGTTGCACACTGTTGAACACTGTGGACTTGGCTGTCGTTTCTCGGAAATTTGTGAGAGAGGTCATTTCTTGGAAATCGAACATGCCATCATTTCTATTGTAGGGGTGACGGGTAATAGAAAAAAGGTTTTAAAATGCAAAACGAATATATTTCTACATCAAACTTTATGAATTAACATTCTAATATACTCTTAATATGTCTAAGAGTTATTAGTTAAATAGCAATTACCCCCAGTAAACAATAATAACATCAAAGTAAATGCCTCTCTACCCCGAACTTGGATGTGGCAGAACTTGACCTAAATCACGGTTACTCACACCTCACAGCTGTCAATGGCTGACAATCATGTGTTTACATTAACTTGATCTAGTTAAAAGAAGCAAGATGACAACCCCGATCTATGATGTGGTTCAACATTTACCTGTAGATTTACTGGGATTGATCGAGCCTGCTGGTACATACATATGATTACTAATGGAACTGAGTATGACTGAACAGCCGCTGTTAAGGCTGCAGACGAGACGGATATTTTGAAACGAGGAATCTGCATGGTGTGACCTGTCAATTTCAAGATTTCACGGATCCAACGCCAAAAAGTGACAGAACTTAGACATTTCTGGTCCAGAAATAGTAGGTCGTGTATAATTTCCATAATTGTGCGTGTTCTGAAATGAATTTCATCAAGTTTGATAAGCTGTCACTTCAGTTGGGACATTGTTTTCGTGGACTTTCGAAAGGGAGTGTTTTCGGATGGACTTTCAAATTCCCACCTGCCAAATTCTAACGGTGGTAGTTGACGGAGATGGCAATGGATATCGATCAGAAAAAGGTTTGTAAACACCATGTTGTCATGAATAAAATGTCTTCAAACACATTTTATTATGTTATATTTCACTTTCATTGTCGGTTGTTTCAATAATGAAATTAACTGTTCGTGGGTTTCAGAAAAAGCTACCAAAAAAATGAACAATTATTATTTTCTCAACAAAATTTATTAGATATCACTCTTTCACTAATTGTGAATGTGTGAATCTTTGAATTATACCTCCCCACCCTGAAATGAGAACCGTCCTAACGTGGCCCGGTTGTCACTGTATCTGCACTGCACTCTCAGTTATGGCTGCCAAAGAAATTGTTAACAGTAACAGTGCTGTTAAAGAATTGCAGGAAACCAGAAGACAACCCAGTATTGATGCACAGTGTGATGCTGTTCAACATTAACACGTTGACTAACTATCCCTGCTGATGTGATGTTGTTTTTTCAAACAATTTTTATAATGTTATATTTACTTTCTTTGTCGGTTGTTTCAATGAGGAAATAGCTTAAGTTGTACCGATTCTGGTCACCATAGAACATTTCCCTAACAGTTTCATAAACATTTCATTTGTAAGCAAAATATATGCCTTCGTTAAATCTTTTAATGTCATCATCGAAGCAGTCAGGGTTGCGGCCTAGAACGCCCCAAACAGCCGATATCAAACTACCGTATTTCCTCTATTTGACACTATACGCCGTCTATTAATTTCGCGAGAGCCCTTGACTCAGCGTGTATTAGAGACCTGTCTGGTATTTGAGACCCAGCGTGTATTAGAGGAAATATAGATATGTTTTACAGTTCATATATTGGGGTGATCGATCAGCAGCCATTTTCTGTGAATCGATATGTAGGCTATCTATGTATTCATACGCACGTTTTTTTGTGAAAAGGCTTAATATATTTGAAAGGGGTTTCTGTAGCAAAAAGGAAAAAAGAAACAAGTCGATCTAAGCAACGGCCAGTGTTGACGTACTGAAGGCAACATTCTTGACGATGCTTAGATGCTTTCCCATGTTAATGACGTCACACGTGTCAGGGTTATGTATGTTTTACATGTTTTCTGAAATATTTTATATAATGGCTTCAATTGACTTAGTTCTTCAAAATAACATATAGAAAACAATCATGTTTTATGTGAAGAAATATCTGACTTATCTTTCCTTGATTATAGTTTGTTTGTTTTTAATATCGGTAAGCAGTCCATATAACCACTTGAGAATCATGCATGAACCAAAAGCACTGAACGTCTGCATGATTCCCAGTAACGTGGTCTAGCTTCAGTTGCTCGTTTTAATTTTAATTAACTAATCTATTGAAAATACATTTGTTTTAATTTTGATCTGGTTTGTTTTTAAACCCCAAAACTGTGATATTTACCTTGCTGTTTTACTGTCCATTGCCGACAGGTGTTATATAATAACTAACTTGTTCTCATCGCGTTATGGCTGCAATATTGCCGATGCGATATAAAATTGAAATCAATTACTCTTAGTAATCTTATAAAATTAGTCTAACATTTGAAATGATCAGATGGTAGGGTGCCCTCATAAAGACACGTGGTTAAGGCCTATCGCTGATGACTGATACGTGGCGATAAATATCTTCGGCATATATTGATATATTTACGATCTCGAATGCAGAAAGGGGCCACAGCACCGATCAGGGGACTTTCTTGGAATTGTGTTACACATGACACATTGTGTGAATTGCGTCAAGGGTTCCCGCACAGTATTTCAGTCATATTGTGCCGTGCCAGCTGTACAATGCATACGAGGGGTGCCCTGAGTGATGGAGGACACATCTGGCACTCGATCCATGAACGGCAAAGGGGTCACTCGACCATACATATACCCTCTATGTTGCTAAGCAAGACAAACAATAGGAACTAACGTATGACAGATCAGTGTGAAGGAACTCACCTTTGGACAGAGCCTTAGATGGCGTAGAAGAACATGTTGTTGATGGGTTAAAGTACTGCTACATACATTTGAGGAAAACAAAGCATATGCATGTAGTAATGACAGTGTATGTAAATATATATATAATTTCCAAACAATTTCAACTTACCTGAAGACTGAGTAGCAAGCAGGATGGCGGCTGCCAGCGTTGGTATTCCTATCCCCACCATTGTTGGTAATGACAACTCAACTAAGTCTCATGTCATATCTATTTGTTTTCCTCCAGGATCTAACACTTTCGTCTTGGTGCTTACCGCCGCCATAGAGCTGGAATATTGCTGAATGCGGCTTTAAACAACAAACCTACCAACCAATCATGGTGCTGCCATCATGATTGTTTCACACACACACAAAATCATCAGTTGTAATCATATCCTTCAACATACATGCAACAGCAGTTCACACATTCGAGTTTACACGTCCGGCTATCTGGCATACAGGTTGATGTGAAGTATCCCAGCCGTGCTCTCGTGTGGCGTCGTGGTAATCTGTGTCGTGTTTCATCGATCAATGCCGCCTGTTGCAGACATAAGATTTTTCGGCAGATATGATTCAGTCATGCTCGTTTCATTTTCACACGTCTTCTTGATTTCTCTTGTTCACGATGCAGATGTTGACTATCGTCATACCAGATCTACATATCACACTCCATGTTTATGATTCAAACTGATAAGTAAGTGATTTTGCTGCACGTGTGATATCTGCTGAAATGAAACACGGGGGCTATTATAGGAGTTGTGTGTCACCTGGTACTGCGTTGTAGGTTTACAGCTGAATGATATACACGTTTCACAGAGAGCTATTCAGCATTGTTTATACTGAGTAAACTGTAAACGATTACCTTCACTTTGTCCATTTGATTTGGCTTTGTTCCATTTCTAGTAGCAGCGATAAGGAATGATTACCATTCTGGCAGTGATATTTTAAATCAACAGTGTAAATATTCTTTGTACGAACGTGTTGAAAGTGTTATAACTAACCACATGAATGTGCACATTAAGAACATTGTCAGCGGATGGGACAGAATCAATCAACATGAACCACACATTGCATGTTAGTAAAGAAAGGAAAACGTAGAGTTCATGATGTTTTCATTTTAATTACAAAATATGTTTGTTTGTTTGTTGTTTAACGCCACACTCGTCAATATTTCAGCTTTATGTTAGTGGTCTGTAAATAATCGAGTCTGAACCAGACGATCCAGTTATTGACTTCATGAGCTTCGATCCATGCAATTGGGATCGATGTCAGTGAGCCTGACCACCCGATCCTGTTAGTCGCCTCTTTCGACAACCATAGTCACCTTTTATGGCAAGTATGGGTTGCTGAAGACATGTTCTACCCCGGATCTTCACGAGTCACATAGTATGTAGTATTATAACAATAGTCATCATAACTTCAATGCCTAGTTAACTTTAGTATTATGCAAAACGTTCATACAGTCAAAGTAACGAAATCAATTCCCCATGTGGTGAAGATACAGGATATTAACTCCGTACGTCACACGTGTGTCGTAGAAGTTGACCTCGTTTTATTTGTTTCCATTGGATAACTGTGACCTCTGTCACGACAGAACTTCTTTTTTCATTCATAAAAAAATCACGAGAAGTCATTCATTTTCACAAAACTTTACCAGACAGAACCGAAGGAATCTCACAAAAACGAGACACTTACAACACTTTATTAAAACAAAACCGATAGTCACGCGTATGAAATTTGCTTTGAAGTTTATGTTAGTTATGAATAAGGTTACTTCAGACATTGCATCGAGGTTTTATCAATTTGCAATGTAAGAATACTGACAGATCAGGGTCATGCACCCGACCAATTTCACGCCGTTCAAGTTTAGTGTGGCAAAATTATGTCAGTATAAATTATCTTGACAGATATTAGTATCTAGACTTACGTTCCGGCTGTGCCATCATCCTCTCCGAAGATTGTTTTGTGACACTGTTTCCGAAGGTGTTTATTTATTGATGAAGGTAACGACTGCACGACCAGATCACTCAAAGTGAACAGTTCCGATACAAATCATTCGAAAACTCCGTGGAAGTGTGCCTGGCTTTGGAGTTTGTGGCCCAAAACATCCCAAATGTGGTCACTAACATTCCCTATGGATCTCTGGCGTAAAATTCTGTGAATCGATCCCGGTTGTCTGTTCATTTTCTCTTGGTGAAGTTGCCCTTCGTTTGAAGCTGTCTAGCAGACTCGCGTTTGTTGATTGTCACTTCTCCAGTACAGGGTCGTACAGTTTTGACATTGACACCATTGGCGAGCACTCTGTTTTCGTTCTTCCATGAAGGTATGTACAGGATATAATTTCAGCTGTTAGATCAAGGAAACCGATCCACTGAATGCGCAGTCGGGATCCGGGCGGTGCGAGTGATCGACTTTTGGTCCGAGATTCAAAGTGCAACGCTGTTTGTCTTTTTAAGTTTACTTACATTTGTCGTGCGTGCTAACAACAACGCAGCATGAATGACCACAAGCTGAAGAAATTGTTAAGTAAAGGTTTGAGCTTGGCGTACAAGGTTTCAACACACAACAACAGAAACATTTTTGTTAATGTGTATGCATAAAAATGTGAACAATGCCCTTGTTAAGGCATATTTTAATATTCATGCCCATTCATATTCATACGGGCGGTCGGGTAGCCTAGTGGTTAAAGCGTTCGCTCGTAACGCCGAAGACCAGGGTTCGATTCCCGACATGGGTACAATGTGTGAAGCCCATTTCTGGTGTCCCCCGCCGTGATATTGCTGCAATATTGCTAAAAGCGGCGTAAAACCATACTCACTCACTCACTCATATTCATACCATAGAAAGTCTAGTATCTAACGACAGTAGTGCGGTAGTTGCTATATATGTAATTGTTTAATGTTCAACTATTTCTGTATTGTGACACATTCATATATACATGGCAAGTGTTTACAACTTCCTATGCATGATATTAGTGAATAAGTAGAAACAAAATTCCCATTATAATATTTTCCGACGCTTGAGGTCAATGGTAATATTTGTGAATAGGATATAACTTTCGAATTTAAGGATGATCAGATGTCAAAGTAAATCATCTTATCTTAAGACCGACTGGCTTTCCGTTGCTGGAGAATGAATACCTTGCCTACATGTGTGACCACCAGATGTGGAAATATCAAGTTGATTGGGTCTTCACGGTACTTAAAGTACGTTTTGTCAACGGTGTAAACATTAGATGTAAGAAGAAAAAAAACATAAGGAGAGTAAATAAACTCCAGTTCTTAAAATACATGCTTACTGATAGTAATTGTTTGGGGTGCAAGCATGTTGTGATCCTTTTTACCCCGCTTAGTTCAGTTGATGACGTCACCTCCGGAACAAAGCTAGAATGGAGATGTGATACTCTGGATAACTGAGGATTTTTAGATGCAGACTTATTCTTATAGACTGGTTGGATCCATCTCCCTGACACATGGGTCTGGTCAGAAGTGACACCGAACTACTTAACAATCTTCTTTCTTTGTAGAATAGTTTCCTTACAGGCGTATACTGGCCCTTTGTGTCCATACCTAGATCTAGAATTATCCCAAATCGTGGTATCCACTGATTGGTCTTGAATTCACAGTTCTCATCCCCATATGCTGCATGTTGTTAGATGTCGTGGTGTTCAACTTGTACATTTCTAAAAATTGTAAGTAAGTGACAATTGCCGTAACTGGCACTATTCCATCAATGGAGGACCGCCTCCGTGGTCTAGTGGTAGAGCGTCCGCCCGGAGAGCGGAAGGTCCGCGGTTCGATCCCCGGCCGCGTCATACCAAAAGACGTTAGAAGATGGTACTTGTTGTTACCCTGTCTGGCGCTCGGCATTAATGGGCTAAAACAAGGACTGGTCGGCTCGGAGTAATTATACTGTGTCTGAGTGGGGTATTCATGTTAAACTGCAGCATGCTATCACAGTGAGCTAGCACTATGAATCGGCATCAGTCCAGACTAGTACAAGCAGCCACACAAACACACACACGTACATACACGTCGCTATATAAGTGCTTTAATCTTGGACGCGACGTTAAACCCCAGTCCACCTCACCATCTATAGAGCCGTGTTGACATTAAGCAATCGGTTCACATGTGTGAATGTAACATAGATGCTCGTCTGGTATGGGACTGGTAGAGAAACTTGTATACAATTCAATTATTTCAGCCCAGTTGCTTTGGGGGAGAAATCAGAATAAGAAAACGTTCACAGAATATGTGCTTGATAAATACACTTGAAATATACACATGATACCTATAATGTTTTATTCCATGTTCATACTAGGGCGGGCTGATCAGATTATGAATGGATTTTCAATGGGGGCATGTCTTTATTTGTCAACCTATGAGCGAATTTCATGTTTTGCTATCAAGTGAAACTAATATAAATATACTAACATACTGATGTCAACCTAACATATATATGAACATCTAAATATATCTGCCCTTACCGCCACATGCCTAGACACGCTTACTATTTTCCTGAACATAGTGGTCAGGTTTGTTTCTTAACAAATAGAAACGAAAGTACTGATTTACGTTCAAATTAAAATAAAACGGATTCCGTTGCAATTGAAGGAAAACGGATACCCAATTCCTTACATGGTACAATGACCACGACACCACGTGGCTCTTAATGTGGCTGTACTGAAAGCTTAGTATGTTCTGACCTATACACGCATGCGCACGACGTGTTGCGGAAGACCCATCATGCATATTTCCATATGCTGGTATGTGAACACAACCTCAAAAGAGGAAATAGTGTCATGTTACTAATCTGTTTGCTGACTCCTCAAGCCAAACCGATCAGCCCTAAATGTACATGACGACAAAACATACACGACTTGTCCCGTCTTCCAATAGCGTTAATTTCATTGCATAGAAGTGAAGGACTGCACATTGCACCTTTGAGTTTTTTTACAATGTGTGTACGTTGTTGGCGTAGGTGTCGTGGAATTAACAGTGTCTGAAAGAGTACTGTATAGGCATGAAAAACTATTTTTTTTCATAATTGCAGGTGATTGAATATAGAGGACGGTTAGAAGATTCGAGGTCGTGAACCATACTCCGACAACAAAGAGGTGTTTTTGAGCGTGACGAATTGCCTCCCCACGAGTTCTCCATGTTACTAAGAGCACCTTCAAATATCTCGTTGTGCATGTAGTGGTCTTTGATTCATGCAGACATATGAACTAATAATTAGACGGGGATATTAATGTACTCCATGGGAGTAAATGACACTGTTTCAT